CAACAAAAGATCGTCGTTGCGCAAAACTTGGCGTCTCCAATCTGAAAAAATCAAAAAGTCGATAAGAATATCAATAAGATAATGATGAGTGAAAAATTAGAAAGCATCAGATCAGAGGTAGCCTATAAGAATAATACACAGTAGGAGATAGAACACGATGAATATACAAGAGGAAAAATAATATACAATAAAAAATTAAAATTGTTTTTTGGTACCTAGAAAAAATAATGATACGTACAAATATACAAAGACAACTATCATACAACTATGATGGGACCTTCCCAAAGGCTCCAATCAGGGCTCGGCAAGTAGGGCACTTGACAGGAACATAGTTTGCCCTGTCAGTCATTGTGCTCTCTTGAGTTGAGAAGCTGTGGTGCCTCGGCTTGACAGCCTCTTTGAGGCAATCACCTCAGGAACGTGTAGGAGGTTAAATAACACTTACTAACTCCATACAGATATCGAAAGATTTAGTTATAGTGAAATACAGTGGAGCCCGTATATAACGAAGTTCACGGTTCCCAGAAAAACTTCGTTATATCCGGAACTTCGTTAAAAGCGGACTCTGTGGGAAAATTTGGGAAAAATTACACCAAAAAAATTGCAAATATACAGATTTAATACTTGTATATTTTGATCAAAAATACACAATTTAGACTCTTTTGAAGAAAGAATCTATAGGTTTCTGAACAGTTTTTGCAAGGCAAGAGTTTTTAATAAAGTCGCCCTCGACTTTCGCGAGCAACTCCACCGCCGGTAACGGTAGCACCTGTCCATTAGACAGAGAGAGAGAGAAAAAAAAAAAAAAAGGGGACAACAACTAATTGTTTCACATGGGGGCGAAAGACATTTGATCAACGTGGGGTTTCTTTAGGGGTTTCAATCTACTAAAGACGTGGTGGCGCTTAGGCGCTTCAAGACTATGCCCTTAATAGCAGGTGCTTTACCAATTTTCACCAGGACTGTGTCACCATGTAACGTTCACAGTTGTTCAAACATGGATGGCACAGTCTTAAATGTTCCATCAAGGAACAGTCTGAACCTACTGTTGATTGCAATCAAAGTTAAGAGAACTCACCCTCCAGCAGCAGAATTTTGGCACGGTAATATCCAGACAGCTGCAGGTACTCGATGGCCTGTTGGCTGTTGGAGAGTGTTGAAGCCACGCTTAAGTTGCAGCGTTTTCAAACCGTAGGGACTGGCAAACTACCATTTTATCACGGTCTAACTCATTATCGAAATAAAGTTTTAAATCCACACCTCCAACGGAAGAGACTCAAATTCTTAAACTGATTATTTCAAAAGCACGGTGTGGAGGTATCTTGCAGAAATTTCACCACCTTTTATCATCTGTTGAACACTGGTTTGAATGTGTGCTCCCAGAAGTACTAGGTAGAATGGAAGGAGCATTACATTTTTTTATATGTTATTGAATAATGGCCTTAACTATTGTGAATTTAATGGCTACCTGAAGAAAAAATTCAACCCTACTTTTTCCCCTGTTTTCTTGTTGAGATGACTCGGTGGAACCGAATCTTTCTGTATTTAGAAGAATTATAACTCACAATCAACATCATTATACACGGTTTCTTTACTTTTTTTTTGTTGTACAAGTAATGAAAATGCCATAATTTTCATTTCAAATTTTTCAAAAAGATTCTTAATACCTATGTTGATTTGAATTTGACTAAAATTTCAGGAGTTAACTCCAATTGAATGTCCTTGCTCTGAAAAGAGTCGAATTTTCTGCCTTCTAAATTCCTTCAAAGTTGTACATTATTGGATTGAACTCCAAAACATTGCGTCCTTATTGTAATGTCTGAACATTTCTGAGCATAGCTTAATTTATTCATTTTTTTTCTTTTATTGTGAGGAAAACGGCGAATTATTACGGTTTGAATTTTTCCTAAGATAATCAGCAAATGATAAAGAAAAATCAGTAAAAGCTTTGAGCCACATTGTTGGTCTGTTTTCTCTACAAGAAATAAAGTTAGTACGCTCGAAATTTGTAGAGCATCGTTATTTGAAAAAAAATTTGGATGTAAGAACTCCTATTTCTGACTCATCAATAAAATCCTCTACCTGCACCTTGCAACAAATGGTTTGCATGGTGTCTTTGCCTAGAGTTAGAGACGGGGGTTCCTTTATTGCAAAACACAATGCAATTGAAGTACTCTGTATAAATATCAGCTTTTATTGAAGTTTCGTAATGTTTTTCTTCTTTTCCCCCAGAAAAATTCTAGGAATACTTACCTATAATGTGATGAACAACATAGGTTTCTTTCTTTTCAGAAATTTTGCTATAAGAAATGTCCATTTTTGTTACTGTTCTCTAATTTTAATAAATATTTGTTTCCAAAAGTTCCTACTTATTTTTAAAAAAAACCTCAGAGCATTCAAAACCAGAACAAGTTGGTTTTTGCAATCGCTAGCGATAGCAATATTCGTCATGGGAACTTTTGCTTCTGGGATATGAAAATGTTAAGGTACAGTTCGTTTGTAGTATCTTCAGAAATGAAGGGGCTATGTAATTTTGTGTCGACATCTCTTTTTTTACATTTTTAATTTTTTTTCTTTGCATACAAGAAAACTGTTATTTACCAATTATTTATTTTCGTTGGATTATGTATGGTTTTCGGAATTTAACGCATTTAACTTTCAGTTTCGTTTTTTCGGCGTAAAGTATGATATTTTTACTCTACGCATATGCCCGAATACGCATCATAAGTGACCTATGTGCTTCCTAAGTTGCCATTTTTTTCATTCAAATAGATGTAACTGAAATGTTAGATGTGTACTACCTATACTACTTTCATGTCATTGCTTTATTTATTTATTTATTTATTTATTTACTTTTTGCGTAGGTATAAATTGTTATTTTTTGCTGAATTTTGGAGAAAATATTGCTTTAAGAACGTGGAATGTAAATTAATTTTATTGAAAAAAGAAAATACAATCATTAATTTGGGCGAACAGAGAAAATATACATCAATATTTGGGTCAACATCTCCCTGATTATATGAAGGATGAATATATTAGTATTTCTGTATCAAAAAACTTAGCTTTTGTCTTCAGAGATACAATGATTCTAGTCCAAGTCAATTTGTTTTATTGAAAAAACAAAAACAAAAACAAAAAATAAATTAAAAAAAAACAACTGAAATGTTAGACATCCTATTTTCATGTCTTTCTATTTGTATCAATAGGTACTTTTTGCTTAACTTACGAACGTTGAACGCAAATTAACTTTATTGAAAAAAGAAAATAACGTCATTAATTTGGGGGAACATGTGGCTGATTATATGAAGGAGGTATATTCCAGTATTTTTGTTTAACATATTAATTCACGAGAAAATGTTCGTACATTTATCATCTAGTATTAATTATTTATTGATGATTAGTCTTAAACATTCAATACAACAATTAAAAAGTAACACCCATCGTCGGGTATCGAACTCCCGATCGCCCATTGCCCGCACCTAATCAAAAATATGAGGCAGTTTAGTCAACTAGGCTATAGCGAGTCGGCGAGTGAGAGAGTAAAAATAGCATACAAAAGACTCGGGCAGTGGGCGGGACTTATCACAAGAGACTTTGACGCTTTGTTGCTGAGAGAAATGAGGTAAGCGCGTTGCTGTAGGAGCCATGGTTCGCACTGTTTTCATGTCTCTCAGGGTTCATCTCAATATGCATTTGTCATCGCGGCAGTAAGCTGAGGCGATATTTGTTTATCCATGAATTGAATCAATCAATCGAGCTCTGATTTTGACTTCTTTGTCCGTAACGAGTCCTCTAGAACAATTTTCCACCTTGTACGATGGTTATTATTTCTTTACTTCTATTTTTCAAATTTGAGGTGGGATAATGGCGGCTTCTCAAGAGCACCGAGGTAGGCGATCTTTTGCACCAACGAACAGAAAACTGATGGCGAAAAATAACCAATCAGAACCTCCCAAAAAAAAGAATTTGCCTAAAAACGGAACTTCGTGGTTCTGCGCAGATTTACCAGTCAGACACGACATCTCAAGGTGGAAAAAAACTCGCTGAAAGCGAATTTTAGCAATCAACACAACTTGACGTAGAGACATGATTGGCTAAAAAATACAACGGTTTTTGATACATCGGAAAATCAACCATAAATCGGAGACTGGGCGAAACGCTCAAGGTCGCAGAGGTATAGGGAATCCCATAGCGAAAGCAACGGAACGATTCTAATATCATGGGGAACTCCGTTCCCATGACAAAATGAGAGATATCCTGTTATTGGTCCCCGCTTTCCTGGTACTCTTGATAGAAAGAACACCTAAATTTGGTGTCTTTAGTGAATGATATAATGAGAAGACGTACTCACAGTCCCTCCTTTCCTGGCATAATATGATTCGTCAAGCTCTCTAATGCAGTCAAACTGGTATGCCATATATCTCATTGATTGGGGAAAAATTCAAAATCTGCCGAGATTTTGGACCTAATCAATGCGATGTATGGCATGCCAGTTCGACCTCGCTAGAAACTTTGACTAATCACCTCGATTCAGATGCGAGTCTACCAAAAAGACCTGTTAGCCTGACCAAAATTTCAAAAATTAAAATTGAACCTCAAGGTGCCTCGACCCCATAGGCCGAGAGGAGGGGGGGAGGATGAAAAAATAAATCCAATATTTTAAGAGGGCTTAAAAATTCTATCCGTTCTGCTGTACGACGGATTACGAGATATTCGCATTTTCCTGGTTAAAAAAAAAATGCATTCTTCATCATCATGAAAAAATCGACCAGCACCAAAATTTTGAAAATTAAAGTTGACCCAAGGGGTCTTCCGAACTCGAGGGCTTATGGGAGGTGCAAAAGTAGATCAAACGGTTTAAGGGGGCTGGAAAATTGGCTACACTCTGCCCTGAGAAAGGTGGTTAATAAAGTAGGCGATATTTGCCAATTTCTCTTAAATACATAATCATATCAAAGCTTTACGGGGTTACACGGATGGATTAAAAAACACTTTCTGTATAAAAATGAGAAACATTTTTACTATATGAAACAAACATTGATCAAAAAAAATAAGGCAACTGAAAATTAAGGTCTTCTGAACAATGCAAGACAATTCTTTGAATATATTAGTTCTAATCTACAAGTTGAATTTTACATTCAAACATAGGATGTAACCACCAAATTTACGTGACTCTTAGGGAATAATGGGCCACTAGACAAGGCACGAATTTCAGCATTCTGATACATGTTTCTTAGCCATAATTTCACTCAGAACATGCTGCGCTTAACAAAAATTACCGAAATTAACTCCTTATAGTTCTACTGTTCTGAAATTCTGGTTAAGAAACATGTAGCAAAATGATTAAATTCATACCTCGTCTAGTGGTCTATTGTGAAGCATTCAGGGTGATTCAAAAGTCCCGCACCACCCTTGTAACCCCTAGGGGTCTTGTTCCTTTTCAGAAAGAGCCCCTTATAATCTTGAAGGGACCCAAAAGTCGTTCCTTTTGATCTATAAGCTCTCACAAAATTTCAAGTCTTTATCTGAATTGTTTCAAAAATTTCAGGGGTGATGCCTGGTGCGGGACTTGAAGATCATCCTATACAGTAAAAAAAAAACTAAGAAAGAGCCAAAATGTGTCTGGGGCTTCCTCCTTGCATAATGCCATTTAAATGGGTATTTTCTTGCGGAAACTATTTTCCAACCCTGCATAGCTTAGTTACAGTATAAATTAAAATTTAGTAATTATTTGAAATGAGTATACTCAATGCATTAAGATCTAGAGCCTAGTCTGGAAGTGACGAAACTTCACTTGGCACTTCAGTAACAAAAAAATGAGTCAAATCTGATTAAGAACCTTAACTCTATGAACAGAAGATTTAATAAAGAAAAGGGAGAGAAAGAAAAAACTCAGAGGGATAAGAACAAGAGAAATAATCATGCTTATAATGAATCTGAAGCCACGATTTGACTTCTGAAAGTTGGAAATTTTAGGAGAAATTAGCTCTTTTGCTTAACTGAAGTTCACACAGCACTTGAAAAGAAACAAGCTACGCTGTTTGGGGAGAGGTGGTTCTTTTAATCGTGATCTTTACTTCAAAATGCACTTTGAGAGTATTTAGTCAGATTTAATGACAATATTTAAACATAATGGCTAAGAGGGATATTCATTCAAAGAAAACGGTCATGATAGCTATTAACTGAGCACAGTGTACACTTTTCCACTAAATCAAGGTAGAAAATCGATGATATCACATTCTTGGTAAGCGAAAAAGAGTAACTCATGCAAGTAACTTCTCTTGTGCGAGGTGATGAAAAAATCCTGCACCATCCCTGTAAACTTCAGGATTCCTGCCTTTTTTGCGGGAGGTCTCTGTCCCGTGTTAAGCAACGTTTCCTTCCAAATTTGCCATTAGACTGTTTTTGTCTATCCTGTCTCCCTCATTTCTTCTGTCTCATTCTAAGTTCCAACTTTTCAAGCATGTTAGGCCTTAAGCCGATGCTTGGACAAAATCAAGCGCGCACCATCTCATTCATTCAAAATCTTTTTTAGCTTTGCACAGGACAGCTGATGCAACACTGCCTAACAGATGTTCTTTCTCGGCCTGTATGCCCTCTTCCGTTCACCAGGAATGCGACTTCATGTTCATCTTTCTGCAATCCAGTATTGTGAGTAAAGTGACGTGTTCTCTCAACAGATTTCCAGTGTTGTTCTTGTACATCTGCTCTCCCTAAAACTAATATTAACTTTCTCTCTTCAAGAACTCAATTAACTATCTACTATTTCAAATGCTCATCACTTAATGCGCAAATAGTGAAGAACCAATCGGATACCTCACAGTGTGGTTTTTCATTAAAATGTGACAGTCTCTCGAAAATTTTGGGGAGTCTCAAAAGCCGTTTTTTTCGACCTAGGAGCACCATGAGGTGCTCACAATATCCTTCTCCAAAACGATGAGCCCAGATTTTGCAACAGGTGATTTTGAAATTAGTCTTAAACACTCCTCAAGTTGATGATTGATTTTTGGACCAAAGCGATTCTTGCAAGTTGGCAACACTGTTTTATCTCCATTTAAAAGTATTAAAAACAATTGATTCTAAAATCAATGAAAAGAATATTTTCAATGGATTTAAATGGAGGAATAACAGTGCTGCCAAATTTCAAGAATCGCGACTTATATAGGCTAATACCAAAATAATGAGAGAGGTAGCGAGTCATCTTCCCCCTTTTATGTGAGGAGGATCGATGATGGACAGGAGTAGATCTTTAAAATGTTAAGGCTGGCCCAAAGTGAGAGGGGTGGTTATCCTACTGAGTAATACATTCATCTCTGAGGTTGGAACAAAAAGTTTGAGAGGAATCACTTTCCACCGATTAATTCTTAAAAAAAATGACTCATGCAATATGTAATACATAAAAAAATATTTCTCCACAGCCAGGTGATTTGAGCTTTGAGCTGATTGACTCTCTTCTGAAATAGTTTATTTAAAAAGTGTTAGATAAGTATAAAGACAAATCGATGGCCAAAGTGCGAAACCACATATCGCTATTGCGTTTATTTCAACATTTCCGCTCATATTTCATTTTCTCAAAGAGAAACGATCCAACTTTATAGCTTGAAATATTTACAGAATATTCTACTGACAAAAAATATCACGGCAATTTTCTTGGAAGCATTTTGACTGGTTTTTTTTTAAAAAAAAAACGGAGTAAGACAGGAAGTCTGCAACGTTGCAAATGGAGATATGTGGGTTCGTACTTTGGCCATCAATCGGACCTGATCTGAGAAATGCAACCGCATCTTCTGGGGTAAAAATTTCCTTATCTCTCTGCAAATGCACAGAGGGAGAAAATCTGGACATTTTCGCGCAACTATGACTCTAAAACCTTAAAAATTGAAGGATTAGTCCTGAAGTGCCATAACAAAAATTCTCGTGTTGAAGAGAAACGAAGCTTAGGTGTTGGTAAAAAGTGAGGAAAATTTCTTCCCAGAAGATACAGTCCCTTTTTACAGAGCTGGTCACATATTCTAAGAGCTCGAAGCTGTTAATATGATCCCAAATAGTCCATAACATTCTTCACCTCTGGATCAAGTTGATTGAAAATAATGTGAACAAGAAGCTATGAAAACAAATTTCTCCATTGCAATGTTTCAAAATCTGTGCTTCTATCTGATTCTTTGAAGAGAGCATAACTAGGCATTTTTGTACGGAGTTTTTCTAGAATACTAACAAAAAAGCAAAGAAAAAGCACACCAAATTTTACATAAAAACGATGATTAGTCATTCTTTTAACAAGTAAAATTAGGCAGAGAATCTGCACTGTTATACTGCGGTGCTCGGAAAAAACGCCTTAAGAATGTTTAAGAGTTCCAAAATTTCCTCGAACAGAATGTTTCTTTTTGAGGTGAGTTGCCCAATTGAAATTTTAAAATAATTAAGATCTGGACGTGTGTGGAATTCTCTGTGAAATAAGAAGAGCATATTCTAAAATTCCCCTGAAAATTCATATTTTTTCAAGGAAAACTTGGCAACATCTGAAAGCTTGTGCGGCGTTGTTCTTAAGCACAGCATTACAGGTGTGTGGTTGTGTAGTTTAGCCGTAGATTAATATAAATCTGTACAGTTACTTCAAAGTAATCTATGGGACAGGACTAAAAGCCATTAACTATAAAAATTTTGTACATGAAAACAGTTCGATCACTAAAATTGCGCAAAGAGGTTAGCTGGACGTTTGACATCTTATTACATACTTACAGAAAGAAGAGGGAAATATAGTAAGATAATAATCAAATGAAATAAAAAATACATAGACAAATGAAGAAACAGCCAAATGTTCCAAAAACAATTCATTCCGGCAATTCTAAACACTGGCAGATGTGTCGATTACACATATCAATGGTATCAAAAGTCTTATCGCACCCCGGTTTAATACAGCTAAAATGCTGGGGCTCACCATCAGTCTGAAACAGAAAAAATTAAACCTTTGAGCATATGTTTGGAAATTTACTTCATGTATAGTTATGAAATGAATGAAAATAAGTGAACTTTGAAATAGTTCTACCCCTGGAGTGGAACATGATCTTCAGGAAAAATTGAATGGTAGATGTTCACCAAGTTGAATTGTCAAATAACCGAGAGAAATCTCAACTTAGGTAGCCTTTAGTCTTATCCGCTTTACCGCAGAACACAAAGTAAGCAGAAAAATTTGAGGTACATAAGCGATTTTAAGTGACTTGATAGTGATATCTTCAGTAACTTTCCCAAATTAGTCAATAATTAATTGTAAATTTTAAATTTTTTCAGTGAATTTGCAAATTTTATTTCTGCACTCTCAACAAATCATCAAAGGGCATCTAAAGTCACAGATTTTTAAGCTCTTACTCCTGTACTCTCTTCAAAAATAAAGATACATCCTCATATACATTTTCTTGAAACGTTACTTTCTTTTAAAATCGATCCTTTCTTAAGATTATGATTCTAAAAATCGAATTTTCCAGGGGCTTAGCGAAAATTTTTCTTCCGCGTATGCACTTTTCCCTTAGTGACAAGAGTCATGACTTACTTGTTGTTCTACATTTACCTTTGTGGCGATGTACAGAGGCCGATGGAATTTGTGACATGCGCAGGATTTTGTCTTAACTGTGTGTATACAGTTTGACTTGGTGAAATTTCACCATAGTGCACTAATTTTTGAAGTGGTTTCTTTGCAAATCGTTTATCATTCTTATTACTATTTTATGACCTCTTTAACTTTGTTTTCTTCTTCAATTGACTAGGGGATAAGGCTTGTTTGTCCAGCCATAAGCATATCTGGAACGTATTAAAGGAATAAAGATCTCTTTTCCTTGCTGCACAAAACCTTTAGAACTGCGTAAAATTTTCTCATAATTTAGAAAAATAGTTTATAAAACTTACCAAATCGGATTCCAGATCTACAGGACCATACTGGCCGAATTCAGAATCGTTCCATTGCGGTTGACTCCATGCAGTTTTTTGAGGAAGCTGTGTATCGCTGGGCACCAGACGTACCGTCTTGCGTGGCTGCGTTTCTTCTCTACGCATCATTTGACGCATCATCTCTTCCTCCCTTCGGAACTCTCTTGGATTCTCATACCTTTGACTTTCTTCACTTTGGGACATTTCTTGACCTAAAGTGACTTGCTTCTGCAGTGTTTGAACCATGGACTGCAATGTTTCATTTTTAAGCTTCAGTTCGCTCAATTCTGATGCTAAGTTCTCCTTGTTTTTCTTCTCAGCAAGGAAGTCTGCTCTGAAAATATCTGCTTGCTCTTGTAGCACGCTCACTTTCTCTGAGTCACACTGAATGTTACCCAGCTGTTCGGATAACATATTGATTTCTCGCACTTTGCTCGCGACGACCTCATCTCGCAGGACAAGCTGATTGCTCAAATCGGTAACTTTGGAGTCGTAAGTTTTTCGCAAACTTTCGATTAAACATTTGCTGTCCAGCTCTTTTTCTGCTGCTTCTTTCCTATAGCTTTCAAACAAGTCTAACAATTTCTGATAGTCTTGAAGCAAATCAGCGTAGTTCTTGTTCAGCTTGTCAAGCATTTTCTTCCTTTTGATGGATTCTTTTTGTTCCTGTGTCAGAAGTTTCCGTAATTCAACTATTTCAAGGGAAGCTTCATTTTCAGTTTTATTATAAGGCACACTGTCTGTTTCATCAGGTAGCACCCAACTATCGAGATTCGTGCTGTAACATAGGGATTTTAGAATGTCGTTATACATACGAGACTCAAAGAGCGACCACCATTTTCAGCGTAGCAAATGTTTAAGAGTAGATTTTTTTAAGTTACTTAAAAAAAATATAAAATTGTATTCTCAATAGAAAAATAAGTTTTACGAGTCTAAGGGTATATTAGAGAATTATTTTCAGAGAGGTTTATTTCGGTACTGTGTCAAATTAGTGTTAAAATTACTTGATAATTTGACTGTTTCAAGCCACCATCATGGCGGATTAAGTTTAAAAACTTAGCTTTTTTAGAAAACCATGATTTTTGAACTGTAGACTTAAGTTTTCATACTTCTGGCTTGGTTTGATATTATTGAATATCAAACTGAAGACAATAAATTAAATAAAAACAAGGGAACACTTTCAATTAAGAACCTGATATTAAAACATATTGCTAGGAAAAGAATGAATGAAATAGTTGTCTGCAAGGCTCCAGCAGAAATTATGTGTTCCCTTTCTATTTTTTGGCAATGAAGGATGCTAGGAATGAATTTTTTCGTTTGCATGTATTAATTATCTCTATTGCTTGAGTGAGGAAGTGAAAATAATGTAAAGAGTTCAACCGACACTTGAAGTTGACATTTTTACAAGAGAGCAAAAAATTCTGGCCAGAGCTGAATATTGCTGCAAAAGAACACATGTCAATGGTGAAACTTCCAAAGCATGTATGTCATTCAGGATTTTTGAAAATATTCACTCTCATTTAACCAATCAACATCATTCCTTTAAGTGTTCACAGAATTTTCTTCATGCACAAAAAAATAATCACAGGAGTTTTTCAGCATTGACGTTGAGTAGTTTTCACCTAACGAATAAAATATGTCAAAAAGTCTGCAACGTCGCAAGCTGAGATATATGGTTTGGAAGTTTCAGCGTCAATATACATTTTTCCATTTAGTAGTATACCAACCTTTAACTTTTTTTTATCAACTGCAAAGTAAAATGAGGCACCAAGAGCGATCTCTCAAAAGAGATTAGTGTTTGAATCTTACAAAGGAATTTAAAGACCACTTTGGCCTGCGTCATCAATATTTAAGGGCCAAAATATTCATTTTCTAAAATAATTCATGATGATAACCAGATGTCTTTCGGCACCTTAGAATTGAGCTTTTTCTAACTGAACACAAAGTTTCATAGTTCAAGTTTCCATCACCCAATGAAATCCTGCCTGAGAGGTCCTTAATAGATTTCAGTATCGATCAAAAGAGTTCATCTGTGTTCCTGCCTTTTCATAGCAAGCTGACCTTGAATACTTAGGCCCCAACTTCAGCCACAATTTTAAGTTTTTAGGCACCAACAAAAAATATTTAAGCACATTTTGCACATGGCATCGATCGGATTTGAACACTTAAAGAGATCACTGTAATAAAGAAAAAACTTAGTACTTACTTCTCAGGTTCATTTTTTAAAATTTGACCCAATTGTTTAAAGTCTTCTTTATGCCGAGTAAAATTCAAGTATAGATTGTGATACAGCTGACTTTTTTCTAGTGAACTTGGTTCATCTTCACTGTTAGACTAAAAGAAGAATAAAAAAACAAAATGATAAAAATAGGCTTTGTCCATTACAAATCAGTTAACACGCAGGCAAATTACACAAGGAGCAACTGTTGCAAACTTCACCTGGAGCAAGAATAAAATTTATCTCTGATGGAAAATGGCTCAAAAATTATGATGATTGACATCTAACGGCTGAAGCCGGAAATTTACTCCGCATATGAAAATCTGCATTAACATGCGGGTATTCTGAGCTTCCTACTTCGAAAAGAATACCAAGGCAAACATTGAAATTGATATGGATGAGTCAACGCAGATTTATGAAATGTCCTAAAACTAGAGGTTTTCCCTTTCGCTCATGAGTACTATCAGACTATCTGTACATAATGAAGTTGATGTAGATATGAACAATGCGATTTGACTTTTCACAGGTCTCCATAGTCCATGAGAAAAAGGCCTTTCTCGCACACAGTCATAACCAAAATAATCTTGTAGGAATGTAAATTTCAAGGACTTCAAGATAAAGTTAGCCGATTACCAAAAAACAAAGGAAATTGAACGACTTGAAAATCTGAGAATAATCAAATGCATTCTTAGGGTTGTATTCATAGTCGTTCCTCAAACAGTTTCCTTCCGTCATATCATTTTTTCATTTTCCGATTCCCTTAATTTTCCTTGACGTTTGATCAAAACCTCCCCAGTTTGATTTTTTCTCTTCTAACCATGTTGCTTTTTCCTAGTAAAAGGCAAAACTTTCACTTCTAGAAATTCAAATTACAGAAACTTAAAAGTTGTTTGCCCTCTCTTGAATGGTACCAGCTGAAGTTGTTCAGCCGAGGTGCTGCTCTGAAAATTTCTTGACTTTTCCAGGTTGCCGCAAATTTTCAAACTTTGTTGGTTTTCTAGACCGGCGGAAGCCGTGAAAACAGTAGACTCACCGATTTTATAGCTTTTAACTGCGCTTGTGTCTTGTTCAATTCAATCTGGAGCCTTGAATTTTGTGCTGTCAGCTTTTCAACATCGATACTTAGCTGCCTCCTTGCTCTCTCGGCTGTCTCTAGGTTTCTAGTCAGCTGAGTCACTACGCTTCCAAGTTCTTTTTCTTTCTCCATTTGCTGAACAGGAAAAGAAAAAAAAATATTTCATGGAGCAACTGAAAGAATCAACCACTTTTGTGGGTTCAAAGTTTGCAATTTTGGAAAATTTTTAGTCTTAAATCAAAGAGAAGAACTTGAGTTTAAAAAATCCAAGCATTTGCTGCTTTCTTCAAAAGTAAATGCATTTGAATTCTTCTACAACTCGACAAATGGACCGAGTGATGTTTAAAACTGTCTTCAAGTACAAAGCTCAGTAAGGCAGTGGCATGGCTTTCTTTGCGATATATCCATTGATCTGCCATTTAAACCTATGAGAAAGGACCGATGAACAGAGTATTTGCATCGAACACCTAATAATCGATTCTTTATCATAGCTTCAAAAGGGAAAATATCAATAATCGATCATTCACGCCTCGCCACTGCAGTAAGGATGTGTTATGTTCCACAGAAGAGGAACTTCAGTGCCAAAAAACTCAAAATTATACCACGTTTTGTACTGCAGAACTACTATTTCAGGGTAATTTTAGAAACATCGCATATACCTTTGGTTGCCCTATGCAGATAGTTGATTTTATGGACAAGCCAAAAATAGTAGTTCCTTACTGACAAATGTAGTCCGATTAAGGTAGTGGTAATATGTACTGTTTATGGAGTGGTTTCAGAATACTCTTGCACAAAAATGCCCAAACGCATGCGAAGCACTTTGAAGTTTAAAGGAAGAAGTCTCGAGAGAAATTCGTTTAAAGTTTCATCTCACTGCAGTTTTGCGAGGAATTAATTATAAGCTTGAATTTGTCATATTTGACATTTGAAATTAATGAATTAAAATGCGGTTTCATGCCCCCCCCCCCCCCCCCCCCCCCNTGGCGAAAAATGAACTGCACTCCTCTCGATTTATTCATCAGGATCTGAGAGAGTATTTTATGTTGAGAATTTGAATTTCAATTGACTAAGTTGAGAGAAAAATAAGCTTTATTTTGATGGCCAAAGTGCGAAACTACGTATCTCTGTTGCAGACTTCCTGTCATACTTAACTGTTTCCTGGCAAAACTAATCAACGGAATTTCTAGAAATCGAGTTTTCTTCTCCGTTGGTAGAATATTCTGTAAAAACTTTGAGCTATGAGGTTGGCTTGTTTCTCCTCAAAAAATAAAGCATGAGCAGACATTTTGAAACACCAAAATGGAGATAAGTGGTTTCACATTTCAGCTATCAATTTGTTACGACCCGTTATTACACAGGTTGATTACCCAAAAAAAGACCGTTGCATTTGGTCAGAGTAAAGAAAAGGGGTGTTTGTGTTGGAAAATGGCTAAAAAATCACATTCAATTTCCAACAAAGACCTAAATTTGAGCCAACTTGAGAAAAGTTGCTCTCTTAAAAATTTGCCTCCTTCTCTTTCTATTTTCAAGGACGGTCTTTGGTAAACATTTTATAGATCAGTGCACTTTAAAAGTTTTTTTCTTGATCCTATTTGGAGGACAAGACTTATTCTTGCCGTTTGGTACATGTAAACAGATCATCTGTGCCAAGGCGCAGAAAATTCTCAATGGACATGATAAAGCTTTTCGCAGAATTGTCGTGAAAATCAGGTTTTTCTTTTTTTCAAGATTGGCAATTTGCCAAAGAAGAGCAAAATAAAAATGGCCTTTGCAAAGAAAGTTTTTTTGTTCGATGTTTTTGGCCTCTTGTAAAACCATACCTTTGGCACACATCTGCTCTAGAATCGCAATTCTAGAAGCTGATGCCTATTCTGCGGTGCTGAGGAAAACGCCTAGTGAGCCTTCAGAAGTTGCCAAATTTCCTGTGATAGTGCACGCATATTTCAGAGTGAATTTCTTCAACAATTTGATTAGAGGTATTGGAAAATTTCCAGGAATTTCAGGAGTAGGGAGATAAGTACATATCCTCAAAAATACACATTTTATACAGGAAGACTTGGCAAAATTCAAATGTTCAGTTGGCGTTTTGATTTTTCTTATTACCTACAGCATGGTAGTATTACACCTACACTGCACAGCACGTAAAAGAGTATATGACATTTTAATTCGCATGTGTGATGTCGTTTTTGAGAGAACTCATTGCGTTGCAAAAAACGTAGAGCTTAACAAAATTTGCACACCTGGTCAGAATTCACAAGACTGATGAAACATTAAAAAAATCAGGCATTGTGGGGAAACATTCCACTATTGAACCTGATACTGTCCTAAGACATTTTGTAAGGTGAATCAGCAGACTATTCGACAAACACAAAATTTCATGATAAGATTGCAAAAAACCTGCTAGATATCTGAAGGAGAAAAAAAAGAAAAATACAAACCTGCTGAGCTCGTTTTTTTTCACGCACGGACATCTGCACCAATTTTTCATTGAGTTCTATTTCCATGATCGCTTTCTCAGCTATTAACTGGGGAAAAAGAGGGTGATAATTTAGTCAATGAGACAACACCAAACAAATGTAGGTAGATAAGAGAATCTTCCCCTGATATACTTCTTAAACACACTTGAAAATGTAGTACATAGAGGGAAAAATTCCTTTGTAAAGTTTTATCAGGACAAAGTTAAAAGAATTTGAGAACAGTAGAACAGAGTGTCTATTTAAATTGGCTGGCCAAAAATCAGTAATTTTTAGTATATTCCCAAGAAATTCAGTGCCTTCAACCAAAAATTTCAGTACCTCCACTGGACAAAATTTGAAAAATGTCGAAAATTTGGAACTCTCCCTCGATTTGCAACGAAAGTGATGTTGACATTAAATTTTATTGGTAGCTTGATGCACAACCGCAATCTTGCGGGCAACTACAACTCTGAGAATCAATGTGCAGGGGATTCCATACTTTCCAGGCTATATTAAAAACTACGCAAGGTTTGGAGGAGAAATTCCAGATCTCCTGGCAGAATTTCTGCACTTTTTCACTACTTCCTGTCCGCCTTTGCAAAATCAGTACTGTTTCCGGATTTACCGGAAATTACAGACTAGTAGACACCTTTGAGGAGATACCTAAACTTGTTTTATTTCATCCTGTTTTAATTTTAGTACTGTTACCTTTTGGCTAAAGTATCACAGGTGCCATTCTTGTTTGGACGCCATGTTGCTGGACATAACCAAATTATTTTAATTTTTTTCTTGAAACTTTTGCACTATCTTTCGTGAAAATCTCAGGGATTGATCTTTTCAATGGAAGTAATATTGGGTAAAACTTTGAGGTGATTTTGTTAATTAGTTTCTCTGTAAAAATTTGACAAGTTTGAGAGGTTTGCACCACCTATTTTTCCCTGAGCCCCGCATTTTTTCACCAAAAATATAAGGTGCACAAAAAATGCAAGACTATACCTCAAAAGCAGGTAAATATGATGCTTACAGTGGCTGCAAAAAAAAATTGGAAAAAAATGTATTGTACTCTAATGCATACCTCGTTCATTTTTGAGTTTCTTAAATTATCAACTTTCGTGTTTTCTATTTCTGTCTTCAGTCTTTCCAGATTTTCTTTCAGCTCTTTGTTCTCTGAAGTAAGCTGCAACAAGTCATGTATCATAGAATGAAGTGAATGAGAGGAAAAAATCATGGTTAGTGAAAAAACACAAATGACCAGATGACAGGGTCAGAAATAATAATAACCTGATTCACTTTCTCATCAAAACTTCATGTAAAGAATGTTAAAGGGACACATCATTAATTTCCCTGTTAGACTTTTAAGAGTGCAATACTTAAGCGCTATTCATGATCCTTGATTAGACAATTTAGCTTGACACAAAACAATAGGGTAGTTAGACATTTTACCCAATTTTTCTAACCCAATACTAATTTTAGGCCAAAATCTTTCATCAAGAGTATACTTGGGCCAATTTTTCTTATTTGCTTATCATAATGTCCACAATTTTTTTATCCACGTTTTCTGTGATCCAAAAGAAAAGAAGTAACAGTGCAAAAGCTGTCAGATGTATCATGTTACCAAGGTAATTTTTCAATTCAAATGCCATGGTTGATAAAATATTTTAACCTCGAGTTGATGAGTTTAACCTTCGATTCCAATGAAGGAATGAGATTCTAGAAATAAGACTAAAACACTTGTGAGATGGTGCATAGGCAAAAGAACTTAAATCTCCGAAAACTCGAAGTGTAAGTCAGAGTTGCCATGATTTCTTCAATTTCAAATCCCCTAATTTCCTTGAATTTTTCCTGACTCCCAAGTTTTTTAATTCCCTGACTTTTGAACAAAATTTCCACCATTTTTTTTCATGCCATGACATTTGCTAAACTTTGGACTTTACTTGTTCAGAAATTACATTATGGACAAAGAAATTCAGAGGCTAGTTAAAAGATGACAAGCATTAAAAATACACAGAAAGGGTAAACAAATGGTAGGTCAGTGATATATTTTAACGATTTGATGATGTGTTAGAAATTCTCTGACTTTTCCCGGTTTTTCGGACCACCATTGTGATGAGAGTCGTTGTTTAGATGAGTATTTCAGGAAAAAATCTGATTTAAAAAATAAATAAAACAAAATCTGTCACAAAAGTTTGAAATTCACAGTTCAAAAAGCGCAGTTTAGAAAGATACTGATACCTTAAAAATAAGATCCTTGGTCTCTTCAAATTTCTTTTTGTGGTTGTTGTGCACTGTCAGGACTTCATCTCGCCACATTATAAGGGTGTTAAACTGGTGCTTCATTTCTACATTATTCTGATTTAATTTTTCTGTGCAGAAAAAAACACACAATGCAATATTAATTCTTCCATGTATTCACGCATAATGAAGAACTTTTTTGCTATCCACCAGCTAAATTTTTCCTCATTTCTGACAAATCCAAACTGTGAGTAAAGGAAACTCACCTTTTTCTTAATTCTCTTAGAAATTACCCTCTGCTATAGATAAAAATTTGCAAGAGACATACCGGTTGCTAAGGAACAATACTGCTTACCTGCAAACTCACGATTTTGGAAGACAAAGAAGGAACTTTGTCACTTTTGTAATTCGGTGGTTAGATTTCCAGTTTTTTTTATATATTACGGCATCTTTATAGAGCTCCTACACGGCATTGGAAAAAAATAAACATATCAGTATGTGTGTTCAATACCGAAGAATGCGGCAATGTTGCTGACTCATTTTGGACAAAATTGTTAGTCAGGCAGTATGGTTCCTTGGCCACCGATACGTAACATGGATTTGCATTCTATTGTGAATGAAATTTCCCAAAAATGGAGATGCTGCACGTGTGAGGAATTTGCGATTTGACTGTTGATTCTGATGTAAAAGTTTGCGAGAAACACGATGGTGCCACTAGTTTTCTCTGATGTCAACTCCAAAGCTTAAAAAAAGCGCTCTCAAGTTGAGGCCAAAATGGAGGTGATATCCAACGCTTTCCTGAGAATCCACCTCTACATTAAGACAAACTCTCCATGCAAAGATAGAGAGCAAATACATTATTGACAAGGCTGCCACTTTATTTGGAGACTCTAAAATTGAAAACACGGCATCACTGTATTTGCTCCCTATCTTTGCATGGAGAGTTTGTCTTGATGTAGAGGTGGACTCTTGGGATAGCGTGGGATATCCCCTCCATTTTGGCTTCAACTCGAGAGCTTTTTTTGAGCTTGGGAGTTGATTTCAGAAAAAACCAGTAGCATCATCGAGCTTTTCTTGAACTTTCACAAAGGAATCATTGATTAAATCGCAAATTCCTCACACATTCAACATCTCCATTCTATGAAAAAAAGTTCACAAGTTTGCTGAGAAATTGATATTTGATGCTATTGATGATTGATCCCCCCCCCCCCCTCTGGACCACTCTTTGTAAGTCAGAAAGTCGCCTGAACTTTTTTTTGAGCTATGGAAGTTCTGCAGACCCCTTTCCCCTTGATACGATGCCCCCCAACTGAAAGTTCTGAGGTTCCGCCCATGGTGTCAAACTAAACAATCCAGCATTTAATGATACCTTTTAGCTCCAAGTTTTCTTTCAGCAGCTCATTAAGCCTTTTCTCGATTTCTTCTGGATTGGTGTTGTTCAGAGTATTGATCGGTTTGTGCAACAAATTATTTATCTGGAAGAAAAAGAACAGCGATTTGAATGTATCAGAAAGACAAAGCACAGAGAATGAGCTGAAAATGAAGTGAATGATTTATACTCATGGGGTTGACTATCAATCAATGTTATGTATCAATAAATTTTTAAATTTTCTGACCTTGGAACAATTTTTTTTTTTTAATTTTGTAGAACTTTCAGAGTGTCTACAAAAACATGCTGGCCAAAAATCAGTACTTTTCCGGTACTTTTTCAGGACATTCCCAAGAAATTCAGGAGCTCCCCAACAGTAAAATTCAGTACATTTTCAGGACCTTCATTTGACGAAATTCAAAGAATTTTAAAAATTTTAACTTCTCGCTCAAACTGTGGCAAAAATGACAAAAATTCAAGACCTTATGGCGGAATTTCTGCACTTTTTCAGTATTTCTGGAACGCCCTTAAAAAATCAGTACTATTTCCAGACTTGTAGACAGCCTGACTTTGGACAAAATTTTCACTTCTACGGATTCAAAGTACAGAAAAGGGCACTTAGAGGTTCTTTGCCCTCTCTCAAATGACACCAGCTGAAATTGCTGAGTCGGTGTGCAACCTACTTGCAAAATTTTCTTACTTTCCAAAGTCACCTTCAATTCTTTCCAGGTTTTCGAAACCACCAAAAACCCTGATTAAGGTAAAACATGATCTTTATGATTCAGTATTTTCGCAAAACACAAATACCTTGAGAAGGATACGTTTGCTTACGTACAATACCTTTAATTGGACCACATTAAGCAGAAAGGAACCAAGCCACATTAACTATTCCCAAATTTAATTGGAAAATTCAATGCTTTACAAGAAAACATTTGTGTGAATTCCTTTGAGAATTAGAAGGACTTTGCTTCGCACTATCCAGAAAATTCACTGAAATTTGCATAAAAATCTTCTTGACCGTTTTCATGTTAAAAATTAAATTGCCCAGTTAAATTTGGCGATAGCTGATAAGACTCGGTTTCTTTCTGCTAAACGCGGTCCATTTACCTAATTGAGGCTTTCAGATGATACTCATACTTACAAGAGAAAAATTTTATCGGCGTGACAATTTGTAGAGGCCTGAAAGACGCAAGCGATCTTGCTGTTAAATTATTGGAACACTCTCAACCTAAGATAGATGGTGGGATTAAGTAATATGTACTGGCGCGTCTCTACCTAAAATCTCTCTCATCTAAAAACATTAAGACTTTTCCAGGCAAAAAGAACAGCTGCTTGATAACTGATATACTGAGTAAAAATTACTTGCTTGCACTTTGTCATGAATGAGCTCCTTAAATTTCACATGGCTGTTGAGAGACACCATAGAAAATTGGCTGGTGGACAGGAAAGTGATGTTGATTAATTAATTAAATGCAAATTAATCAACTCTATCCCTCAGCCTGTCCTTCGATCAGGATCAAAGGAATTTCTCTTATCTTTAAAACAAGTTCATAGTCCAACTATCAACTGGTAGCATTAATAATAACATGAAATTATGAAGCATAGAACATGTCGACAGTGAAACTACCAGACCACGTATCTCGGTTTGCGACGTCGCAAACTTCCTGTCATACTTTATTTTTTAGATGAAAAACTACTTAACGTCTAGTCTTGAAAATTTCTGTGATTTTTCCTCTTTGTGCGGAGAAAATTCTGTGAAAATTTCAAGGAATGATATTGATTTGGTCGACTTCAAAAAAATTAAATGTGAGCGTAGATTTTTAAACACCGCAAACGAGATACGTGGTTTGGTAGTTTCACCGTCGATGTGTGATAATTGCAGAGCTCGGATTCGTACCCTGCGCTTAAGGCCCAGCCATTTCGGTTTGTAAACGGAGTGTGAACTACTTGCAATACAAGAAAATTAAACTTTATAGAGAGAGGGAGATTACAAACCCGTGATTCGAAGTTGGTCAACTTAGCGACAAATTTAGATGGGTCAGGAAACTCCGGTAAAGTTGACTCCATCAGCAGGCTTGGATCTGTCTCAGGCGTTTCGGCATTGGGTTTGTCTGCTGTTATTCGTTCCAGCACGACGAAAGAGTTATCTGAGAAAATTGATGTTGGTTCTGGATTGCTCATGGTGAGGATGAATTTCAACAATAGTGTTTGATCTGTAAAAACAACTTCCTTATCACCAGAAAATTATGGTCAGTCAGACACAGGGCTTGCACTGCATGGTTTCAGCACTACACTTCAATTCCTTAATTACAGAACGAAATGTAGTTAATCACAACATACTGACAGATAATTAGAGACGTTAGGTGAAAAGAGAACAAGTATAAAATCACTGAATCAGAACTTAATTAAAGGAATTTCAACCTGCCGTAAACAGGGAACACGACGGAATTTTCTTGTGTTTTTTTATGACTTTAATGACATCATAAAATCAGCTGATTGCTGCAATGGTAATTAAAATTCCACTAAAACTAAAATTCATGCTCATCTTGTTTGAGATATCAAAAAAAAATATCAATAATTTTGTGCCAACTAAAAAATTCCAAATAAATATTTGTTCTCCTTTCATGTGTTTAATTTTTTTGTTACGAGAGAATAATGAAGATTAGTCTTCAAAACATTATTAAGATTAGTGAACAATTAATGTATAAGTTGGTACTCAAAACATCTCATGAGTCACACTATTTTCCCCAAAAATTCTCTAGCCGGTGCAAAATGTAATCATAATTTAAAATGCTTCGCAAAGTTTACTTTTATTCAGCCACTTTTTGATACCAATTAAATATTTCTCTTAGATTTACAGACCACACTGATCCGATGTAAAAAGTTGTTTTTCATTTCCATGACAAGCCGGCAATATGGACGAAGACAATCCGGCAACCGTGCACCTTGAGCAGCTTTTTGCTTTTGTTTTGGTTTTGTTTGTCTTCTTGCGCTGATCGGTGATAAGCATAATTTGTAAAGTACCAATTTAAAATAAGAGATTCAGCCGCATAGAAATCACCTGAATCATGGCAGGAATTAAAGGTATTTGGTTTTTAGATACATCCTCATAAATACTCCTACGATTACACTCCAAACTTTATTCAAGGCAGTGGCGTAGCTACGGCTTTGAGGTTATCCTAAGTAGACTCTCTCAGTCTTTATCTGCAGAGAAAATAATCTCCACAACAAAAATTACTCTCTACCACACCTTCAGAGGCACTAGCTCTTGCTCTCAAGTCTGCTTAGCAGCCCCAATTTAGAGCAGGTTTTCTCGTTAAAGTTCAGCAGTGTCATAAGACGTCGCTCTTCAGAGGCTATTATCGAACATTCAGGGTAGTCCTCAGAGATTGTAACCTTTTCTCATCTAATTATCTTGTGCCTGGACACTATTTTTAGAGGAGCAAGTATTGGGCCTGAATTTTTCATCGAAAACACTTGTTTCCATGTCTAGGCTCCAGACGTGCGTGTTAGTTAATTGTGAGCTAGAGAGAAGTGGAAAGCCGAGTGATCATCCAGATGGACCCCATTCCAATGGATGTACATAAATGAAAAGGAACTCTAATCATCCTGACATGTGTCTTGAGATCTATAAGAATATTTGTATGACATGGCTCACGTCTCAATGCATACAGTTCCTTTTGACTTAAATGCGTCTGCTTGGACACTTATGAAACAAGATAGCCACCTCGTGGTAATCCATTGTCATCTTCCAGCCAAAGTATCACAAGCGCCATGTGGCATTGTAAAATTACCGCCGCCTTTTTATTTTCGAACAGAGAATTGTTCAACGAAGCAGTCCGAAGCTTCCACTGAATTTTCTTTGTGCTGCCGATAAAATTCAGTGAAAGCTTTAAGTAAAATACTTTCTCTGTATTTAAAATAAAATGACCACGGAAATTTTTAATTGCCGCATGGCACTTGTGATACTTTGGCCGTAAGGTGACGGCATGTGCTCGTGTGCTCCTGATGGGGGACGAAGCTGTAATTGTAATAGGAATTTTGATGTGTCATTGAATTAAATTAATATTGAATATTGAATTTTTTTAATCAATTTTGACTTCAAATCTTCCATATACCAGTAAAACGCAGGAAAATTCCAGATCTCAGGAACAAAGCCGTGGCTCCCTGGGACATTATTCTTGTGCTACAAGCATTCCAATGATTTATTGATGCCTTCATTCATAACTATTTTTCAATTCTAAGTAACTTCATTCCTTTGTTTCATGCTTTGTTTTGGGCCTGTTCCTCGATGAATCATCCAACCAACAGCGTAAGTATTTGTCAATTTCTGTAACTTTCTTCACTATTCATGACTCATGTAGAGTGGTTATTCACACATAAATCTGTATGTAACATGTTGACTAGAATAAGGCAATGATTGGTACTCACGTTTTTCCTTTTTTGCCTGATGTGAATTTTCGATTGTCAACTTAAAACTTAAATCACTAGTGTGTTTTACATATTTTAAGTTGACAACCAAAATTCACATCGGGCAAAAAAGGAAAAGCGCGAGTACCATGATACAACCCTATAAAAAAGAAAAAAGAAACATAAAGCAATAATTATTTTGCTGAATCTAAACATCAACTGTCTATACAACCTCTTTGAAAGATTTATGGAATTGATACACAGTCAGTTTTCAGGAACATTAAATTAATGGATTTAATTTTCCTGTACTTAGGTGAAAATGTAGTTTCCTTCACGCCAGGTGAAAAAATTACTTTCAACTTAAAACTTTTTTAAAATGGATAAATTTCCAGATTTTTACTGAATCTTGAAAGAAAATTGATCCAATAAAAACTGTCAAAAATCTGTATAGTTGGGAGAAACAAAATAAACCACTATTAATAACAAATGACAAAATACTCAATAAAACCTGCTTGCTTTTCATCGAATGAGGGGCTTGGAGGACAAGGCGCATAAGTGCAGTTTTTGTTATTTCAAGAAATACGTCTTTGAAGCTTCTAAATTACATGGATCCTTACGGCGGAAAAAAAGTTCAAACTAACTTTTTGATGCATAAAAATTGGAATTTTAGTGCAAATTGTTCACAGAATAAGCATTAAGACTAGCTTCACTTAAAATCATTAATATCTCAAATTTTTCAAAAACTGCACTTATGCGCCTTGTCCTCTAAGCCCTTCAAATATGCCCGTCAATTTTGCATGTATTCAAAAGCAAGACCATAGCCCCATTAACTGATCTGAACCCACAAGGTTTCAGTTTGTAAGAGTCTCTCGGCTACTAAAGTCTGAAAAGTGTACGTCTTATTAGTTTAGGAAAAAGATCGCAGCGACCATTTTCTACCTTTGAATTTACTGAGCTGAGCTAATTAAATAATTTTGGATTTTTGCAGGCTTGTCACTCTTGCTTTCTTGGGTTCCATTGGAATGACAATGGTGATTCTTGGCTGCGCTTTACCAAGTTATAAGTAAGTATTTTTTATATCGACAAAAGGATTCAGTTCCTTGAATACCTCAATAATCCAGCCCAATATTATTTTTTTATTTTTCTTTGAGATCATCAAACTCTTGATCAGATCACATGGCCAGAAGATAAATGACGACCTTGTGGTTCTTGGACTTGCAACTGATGGAACGAGCAGAGATAGAGGCTAAGTACAAAATGCCTGAAGCTATCCTCATAAAATTTTGAAAAATTGAGCTCTTGATATTTTAAACTCCTTGTTTTCCCCTTTAACTCCCATGACTTTTTACAAACCTTGGACACAGTAGAAATATGAATATATCTGTCGCAAGCAAATAGTAAAATCAGGCATTTGTCAAATGCTCAGGCAAATAGTCTAATATTCTATAGTTTGGATTGAAATTCTGCTTCTTTTCCTAATTTTAGACAAAATAATTAATTGACCCTGTAAAAAAAAGTTTTCAGTAATAATTTGCATCACGAAATAGTATTTTAAACGATTTTTAGCTCCTGAGTAGACACTTATCTTGAAATTTTCAGCACGTCAGAGAATACAGCATTTTTAGAATTTTAACATTTAAAAATATGAGAGGTAATTTAAGAGGAAGAGACAAAAAGAGTTTGTAGGTTTGATGAGATATTTTTCCACAAATATTGAAAACTCGTGAGCTCTCCGCCATAAATTCACAAAATTTTGTATACAATCAAAATTTAGCTATCTGCCTAGGCATTTGACAAAATGCCTGATTTCACCATTTGCCTGCGACATATCTAACTACACTTAGTGCTTTGCCTCTCAAATTCGTTCTATATAATGCAGATTAAAGTGTACATGTTCTGTTTGTAGTAGCCATTCTTTTAATTAAAGGTTTATTAAAAACAAAAAACAAAATAAAAAATTGTACAAATTCCTCCTGTCTTGGAGTATCACAGAGACTTGAGAGTGCCTTTAGCAAAATTCAAAGTGTCTTCTTCTATTTCCTTTTGTTGACATTTACTATAGCGGTATGTATCTTTCATCCTGAACTCTCATTGAATTGCTTCATTAATCAAAAGTTGGTGGGAGACAGTCAAATTGACGGTTCAGGTCTAATTAACTAATTGCTACTACTATTGTGCCGTTTGCTATTACTAATTACTGTTATGCTGTTTTTTTTCTCTCTCTCTCTAATCACTATTGCTTTTTTTTATATTTTTATTCGCATCTTTATTGATATCAGTTTCAAGATGTGAATTATCAATTATCGATATTTCCCCATTTGAAGCTACGGTAAAGAAACAATTATCGAGGTGTTTGTTGTGAACACCCTATTTATTGATCCTTCCCCGTAGGTTTAAATGGCAGATCGATCAGTTCATTGCAAGGCAGGCTTTGCCGCATATTCAGATCATAAAATATACAAGGTAAAAGACTTTTTTTTTGACTAGTTGCATTTAGATGCCCACCTGCACTGCCCTCTTGGGCATTACTTCGGTCTCCTAATTTAATGGGATGCAATTTATTTTCCAATCCTAGTTTCCTTGCCGTGTAATGTGCTGTCTCAAAAAAATGTTAATGAAAATGTCTGCCGAACTAGTTCTTTTAATTACTGCTTCAGCAGTTTGATCTGTTTTACCGATTTTGTTTTCTTTTTCAAATCATAATTTTAAAAAGTTTCAGGCGCTTGCTTCATTAGGTGGAATCACTTGGAGTGCAAGATACGTTTATATATCTTTGCTTTTAACTTTTTTGTCGTTTTTGTAATTCTCTTATTGTCAATTGATGATGTGAGCATTTTTCCTTTTCTAGATCATGGTGGCCGTTTGTTGTGGTAGTTTTTTACATCCTTGCACCTCTTCCAACAATGTTCACGAAAAGTTACAACGATCGAACGGGTGCCGGTGTCAACATGGACTTGGCTATATTCATCACCATGGGTTTCGTAGTTTCCTCATTTGCACTGCCAATCGTCTTGGCTAGAGCCCCTGTCGCTCATCCTGTGGTAAGGAGCTGTTTTCTTCTAGAAAAAGTGCAGAAACGCAATTGTATACAACACAAAAATCTTACATCCTTCTTCCAAAATTTTTTAAAGTGTTCACTGATAGCATTTTTTTTTTCGAAAAGTAAGTCTCACGTAATATTTGACGTGAGTTAAGTTTTTGATCAAGTTATAACCTTCAGTGTGTACTCCTTCACTTAATATGCAGCGCCAAGAAAAAACGTCATTTGAACATTTATGAGTTGCCTCTCCTCCAGTGAAATATTTATTTTTGAGGGGAGTTATGAATATTTTTCTTAAAATTCTCAAAGAATTTAGATCTGATAACGAATAAATTTCTCTGAAAAATTGGAGTAAAAATATTCAAAGACTTCTCCAAAAATTGTATTTTATCCAAGGAAGTTTGGCAATATCTGAGGGCTCATATGGCGTTCTTCTTTACCATGGCAGCAATGGTCTTTAAGCAGGGGTTCCTACAAATTCTAAGCCTACCATCAAAAATCGATCGTCCCCTATTTTCGACAAAAATTTATGTTCAGCTCTCCTGACAATTTAAAGAAAAAAAAACCCTCTTCAACAAATTTGACTTTTCCATCTTTCATGGCTAGCAAAACAATAATATAGAAATAATCTGGTGGGATTCTTCCATTTTTTCCTATTTGTGACTGAGCTGATTGCGTGGTCAGGAAGTTTCTGCATTTCTTTCCATAAGTAGTTTAAGGTAATTGAACTTGAGTTGAGATCAGAATCATATATTTAAAAGTGTTCCGAATTTCACACTGGTATTTTTCTTCTTAATAAAAAAAGAAGAGATGTGATTACTAGAGATCAAAGCTTTGTTGTTTGGAAAATGAACAAAAATTCAGTGGAAAAGAAAGCTCCGTCAATTACGTGAAAAAGCTTGAGCCTCGATAGTTTTTCAGGACAAAATTTTGATCAGTTAAAAGTTATTTATGTACCTTGTTTTGTCTTGCAATACAACTACAAATAATATTGTGTTGATGATTTATATTTTTTCTATGAGCGTCATGGTGCTGAAAACTTAATTATAACAATTTAAAATGGTCTTTTTGTTTATATTTTCGACAGATCAAATGGGGTGCTTGCAATTTAACTCTGTGCGGAAATATCATCGTTTACCTGACCTACATTGGATACTTCGTTACCCTGTACCAAGAGGACAGCAACTATGGGCTTCGATTTTAAGGGATTCGTTTTCAGCATATTTGATTGGATGGCCAAGATGCTCCCTATCTGTAAAAAATTAACAACACAATTTTTAGTGCTACTGCAGCCTAATTTTCCACAATTTTGTTTGGCGTTCAACTCATTTTCATCATTGTTGTAGTGACGTTCTCGTATGAGTTTCAAATTCCATGCATCTATAAAACGTACGTAAAGAAATAATGCCAGTGAAAAAAGGCTGTGTTCTTGCTATCTTCAGGTAATCTGAATGTAATTAAATTTCTTTTTGAGTCCAGGGTGCGTTTTTATCTTTTATACTTTTCATACTGTAATGTAAGTAAGGAAAACATTTTGATAGTGGCTATATCTGTCTCTAGCTGCTCCATATGTAGTATGTAGCTACTATAATGTAAGTTCTCCTGACTCCTACACTTCTTGTAACATTTTTACATCATCCCCAATTGCAAACAAATATAGAACTGTCAGTACTCTTAGAAATCGTGGCAGATAATTTGCCAATTGTTTACTTTTGACTGTCCTGCGCAGTAGACCAATTTACATCCCCACGCACTGTGGCAACATTGGCAGCAGTCAACCTTGACGGCTATTGGACGACAGCAAAGCAGTCGCATGCAAAGAAAAAGTAAAAAACTACAAACTTGTCCTGCGTGAGTTTTACAACTTGAGATCACATTCTAAGTTCATTTTCACTGCTGCTTCAAAGGTTTGCCCTCCTAATTTTGATGTTTATTATCATCATTAGCATCCCTCCCTCTCCTTCCTATTGATATATCAAACTCATCAGAATAATCCTTCTTCTTTCAATTGTCCCCTCAAAACTTTAATCTCACCTCCTGTATGTGGGTTGCATCTTCATTTTCATGCTTTGCAAATTTTGCTCTTCACCTCACCTCTGTATGTTTTTGTTATTATTGTGCTAAACTGTTAACGAAAGGGTACATTTAAAGGAAGATTGTGGTAGAGGATTCATTTGTATAAGTTTCAAATTTTTGTAGGAAAAATCGTATTCTCTTTATCTATTTGCTAGTTTAAGAGTGTGCAGCTGATGGAGCTTTTTAGGAAATGAGGCCTGGAAGTCCATAGGTATTCTATATTTGGTATGCATTCCTGTACACAGCTAACAACATTAATTATCGAACATAAAGCCTTCATGTATGAATCTATTTCTAAAAAAATGCCCAAGTCTTGGAATTACAACCAGCTCAATCTCCAAATTGGCACTAATCCTGTCTATTTTCCAATTTTTTAGAAGTCAATTTAGGCATTGAGGTTTTTTTTACTGATGTTTTTTACTAATTTCAATGTATAAAGTCAAGTTAGCTTTAAGTCTGATTCTGAACTTTTGTTTCCTTTAAAGGAAAAATTACATAATTTTTTTAAAAATGTTTTGGCTTGAAGCACTGTTTTTGACAGTTTACATATTTTCTAATTATTCTTCAATTCTCTGCAATCTGATTCAGAATTTAATATTGCCACTGGTTACATTACTGGTATTCAACCAATTATGAATTGTTAAGGAAAGATTTGTATTTTGACTGTCGAATCTAGCGAGGAGAAGAAGAAGAAGAAGAAAACACAGAACAAAACCAAACAAAAATACAATATAATCTTTTATAATTACAAAAGGTATTCAACATTTTAGTGTGGTCGACTGCTTCTGCGAATCTGTGTTAGCGTGTATTTTTTCAACTCAATTCTGTAAATCAGGAATCAGCTGGATCAAACAGACGAAAGTTTCTCTTTGAATAACATTGATGGATTTATCCTTGTTTTCAGAACAGTAATTTTGTATCATCAATGTCATAAAAAAACTACTTTTTGTCTAATCATGGCACTAGAAATGTGAGGTAATTATTTTTAAGCTATGATAGGCTATGCTGATTCAATCTAGGGATTAAATATGAAATTATCAAGGTTTCAAGAGAAACTTTCAATGAAGGTAATTAAATCGGTCTTCTAAATATTCGACTGGTTCTGTGAGCTGAAGAGCATGTTAAGAGCACACTAAGGAAGTTAATTTAGATGAGAAAAAGTAATTGAGGATCATTAAAATGAAGCATCATGACCCTGTAAACTTAAGGTGATTAATTTTGTTTATTTTTCTCGTTCAACTTATAATTAGTTTTACATGATATTCTGTAAATTCCAAAATTTTAGAACGTGCTTTCTAGTTTGATTCAACAGTTGCGTTCTGGTACTTATCTCTTCACATATTTGCTCTCTCTTGATAATGTTTAAGGTGATGAAACCCAGTTTAAAAGTAGATTTAAATTGAAATTGACTTAAGAGGAGCTGCCATTTTGTGCCTTGGCAATCAGGAAGAGACTTTGTAGTTAATAAGCAATCGATTATTAATTATTATAAAAAATGGCTGTTCTGCCAATACCAAAAATAAAGTAAGAAGAATATTGAGTAAACATCAGAATGTCTCAAAATTTCCTCTGATAAAATGACAAATGATGCATTTTCCAGGTGGCTTGTGTAGTTTTTTTATGTATTTTTTTTAAATCTTCATTTTAATAATCTAGTGTTCTTGAAAATTTCAAAGGAAAACACTTATTACATTACCTCAAAGTAAATATTAAAACAGAGGAAATTTGACAACTCATAAAGGCACCTAGAGCAGCACCCTCTTCCTAAGCACAACAGTATGATCACTAATCAGTCAACACATATTCGGAGTGGCAGAGTTTTTTTTCTTTTTGTATTTCTCCCTCTTATTTGTCTCTAATGTTGATTTACACATCTCACCCCTTTTGTTAGTTTATTTTACCTAGGAAAATGTAAATAACTTAACAAAAGTTCCGAAAGGACGTAGAACATGTTCACAATCACCTAATTTTATGCTCTAAACACCCATGAATGTTATTATCCTTATTTATGTTATTTGTTGACCGCTTTCCCTTCTTAGTTGAACAAATTTAGTATCTTTACAGTCTTCATTATTTAAAATAAAATGAAGCAAAAATCAATCAAACAAATCATCGAAAGAATACTGCTGCGCTGACAAATGAGCTTTTAGATTATGTCATATTTTCCTCGATAAAAGACGAATTTACAAGGAAAATTGTGAATATTTTTTTTCAAATTTTTCGGACAATCGTTTTCGCAATTTAATTCAAAATGTCTGAAAATTTCAAGAAAAATATGCATAACTTTCCTAAAAAATGCATGTTTTATCTGGGAAACTTTGGCAACTCTCAAATTCTCATACACCGTTTCTCCTTAGCACGGCAGAATAAATTGTCACTGTAACCAGAGCAGTCCTAGGCTTCATCTGTCTGTTGTTTTATTTATATATTACATTTAAACCAACTCAATTTAAACTATTAATATAATAAGGACTAATAAAGGAACCTTGATGCTCATATTTGTTTTATTTTACTTACATATAGTACATGCAGAGGTGATAGGAGCCGAAGCTTTTCGAACGTCTAGCGTTCATCATCAGGGGCTAGTACATACATAGTAACAGCAAAAGAACAAAAAAACAAACAACAAGCACTAATAAACTACATCGTGCATAAAACAAATATGAGCATCAAGGTTCATTTATTAGTCCTTATTATATTATTTATAGATGCTACTCCAATCATGTTTAATTACTCAATTTAAACTCTTTGCCTGACTTACCTGAACTGATCTCAATTTAAGTTCGATCAGAAATAATTCTAGATGTTTTTTCTCTCCTTTCCTTTTTTTGAAAACAATAAGTGAATGGGGTTGAAGGATGCACAGTATGTCTAAAGAGTGCTCCATCTAAATGTGAGTCCCTAAATCTTTTGTCTTTTGTATGTATTATTTTCTTTTTGCCCCTGTAAATATTTTATTTATTGAATAAAGTTTGTACATTTCATCAACCCATGTAAACTTGTGATTCCATTTCCTTCTCAATTCAATAGATAGTAGATTAAATTTGATGCCTATCAAAAAATGATAGAGGAAATGTTACCAGAGGATTCGGGAAGATCGACAGGAAATGTTGCTTTTCTGACCTTTATCGCCAATATGGATGTATCGAAAGGACTTGGCTAAAAAATTATGTGAGTAAAATAATCATGAACACAGCATATTGGCTCCTTTTTTTTTTTTTTTTTTTTTTTTTTTTTTTTCTTTTTTTTGTAATATGGATATGAATCTAACATTTTCAATATTGTCATGTTTGTCTTAATTCAGCTGACTAAATTTAAAACAAAATTTGTGGCAACTACCTAGCTTTAAAAAATTAAAACCAAAAACTTTAGTCAGGTACTTTAAACAAATTTAAGAAATCAGCATCAAAAGAGCCAAATGTCCCCCAATTTCGGTAAAAGAAACCATGGCACCCAATTTCATGCTAGCTTTGAAATATCCTATTCGTAACGGCTCTTAAAAACTTCTGTGCGAAGCTCTCTACAAATAGGTACTCATTCATTGACAATCGCTATCAGAGGTAAGAAACTTTTTTTCTCCAAGTCTCCTCGTAAAAGAATATCATAAAATTTTTAGAAACAAAGTGGCCGTGAAATGTTGTGCAATTTTATTGGGTAATTGCCTTTAATTATGTAAGCAGAGCCCAAAATTAATCAGCATAAAAACACAAGTATTCAAAAATAAATTTACCTTAAAATTTTGCAAAAATGTAGCAAAGTGAAAAACGTAAAAGATTCTAATGAATAATCTCAAGTTTCTTACAGAACTCTCTTTACTTGGTATGTGCAGGTTTCTCATGGATCTTCATTTCCCAAAAATTCGGAGCTCTTACAAAATATTCAGTAGTTTTTGCTTTTAGGGGTTTTCCTCAATTTGGATACGTATGGCTGGTAGAGCTTTTCTGGGTGGCGATGTGTGTGTCAAGTTCTGTCGGCAAGTTGGAATTAGAATTTTCTGTGGAAAATGCTCAACAAAGGCACATGTGGATTGCATTTTGCAAAAAGGAACCACTAGCATTGCAATGTTGCTAAGATTGTGCAACTTCTTTTGTCTTGGAGGAAAAACCCGATTATCCATTAATAGTTTCTATTTTACTCGCTAAAAACTGTGAATTTAAGACAAAAATTACCATCTAAATTTCATAGTTTTTCACGATTTCCGCAATTTTATTGCAAAGGATGAAGTTGCACAATCTTAGCATCATTGCAATGCTAGTGGTTCCTTTTTTCAAAATGCAATCCATGTACGAGGGGCGTTCAATAAGTAAGTATCCCCCTTCTCTAAAATCCATTAGAATGGACCAATTTTAAAAAATCTTGGGCTCAAAATCTTCCTTGGGATATTTTGAGTTCAACAAAACAAACCGCAACAAAATCGGACCATCTCCGGCAGAACGCGAGCCGTTTGAACGCGCCGAAGTGCTCGACGCTCCCGCCGAATCCGCGAGGATTTGAAATCCGCTACAGGAGAAGAGCTTCTCTGCCAAAGCCTCAGTCGTTCATCACTGACGAAAAATCAAAGAAATTTTTGTAGAATAAGGGGGGCTTACATCACTTCTCCACATAACCAGCTCAATCCAAGCAAGTCTGATACTGAGACTAAGAGAACAGCTTTTGGATGCCTCGCGCGTGGAAGTCTTTCAGCTGACCGGGGATGAAAGAGTGGACGGCTTGTTTGACCTCTTCCCTGATTCAACATTAACTCCTCCCAGTTCAGATTTCAGGAACGGGAATAAATGGTGGTCTGGTTTGCCATTTATTATCGTATCTGAAATCTGAACTTGGAGGAGTTAATTTTGAATCAGTGGAAGAGGTCAAACAAGCCGTCCACTCTTTCATCCGTGGTCAGCTGAAAGACTTCCACGCGCGAGGCATCCAAAAGCTGTTCTCTTAGTCTCAGTATCAGACTTGCTTGGATTGAGCTGGTTATGTGGAGAAGTGAGGTAAGCCCCTTATTCTACAAAAATTTCTTTGATTTTTCGTCAGTGATGAACGACTGAGGCTTTGGCAGAGAAGCTCTTCTCCTGTAGCGGACTTCAAATCCTCGCGGATTCGGCGGGAGCGTCGAGCACTTCGGCGCGTTCAAACGGCTCGCGTTCTGCCGGAGATGGTCCGATTTTGTTGCGGTTTGTTTTGTTGAACTCAAAATATCCTAAGGAAGATTTTGAGCCCAAGTTTTTTTAAAATTGGTCCATTCTAATGGATTTTAGAGAGGGGGGATACTTACTTATTGAACGCCCCTCGTAATATTCTGCCGAAAGGCTCATCCAGTTAGTTTATCTTTCCGTCACCATGCAGAGAGAATAATTCAATACATTTTAGCCTTTTTAACCTTTAGCCAAGCCGGGTCAAAGTGACCGGAGGCATGATAAAAACTCGTGTCTCGCGGGTTATATGGGACTTTTACATACGAGCTGTAGATGTAGGTTTACAAATACATATACATATTAAGAAAATAATCAGAAAACATGTTGAAAAAAAAAATAAAAAATCGAGAGCTAACACAGACGAAAATAGAAGCGATGTATCCGGGCCTCGTTTTTCAACTTCTCTACCGCAGCTGAGCTGCTGTGCGACACCGCATTGATAGAACTGACAATGAGCATTGCTTCGCGCCTTCAATTTTGCGCATGCAACACGGACATCCATCAAGTACGAATAGTTGTATCTCTGCGCCGTTGTCAATGCGCTTCCTTTACTCTTGCTCTATTTCCATAGCTGCGTCTGTTTCCGGTTGGTTGATTTTAAGTGGCGCTTCAAAAGCTGCGTATCTCGTGCGTAGGCAACACAGCTCAAGAAAAAGCAGACGTAATCTGGTCTCGTTATTTGACTTTTCTCCCGAATCTGAGCGACACCTCATTGGCATTATAGAGCGGAGCATTGCGAGTACATACCTCGCGCTGAGAGTGGTAGGTTATTGGCCACAGAAACCGCCAACAAAAGTGAAGAGCCGGCAGATGACGACGAATTACATAAAAATTAAGAAATTAGGTACATTCTTGAGAGGAATGTAAAGACGAGAGCTTCCTGTTAGTTTCTTACCTGCGCGTACATATAAATATTGTTACACACACATGAGATATGGCCGTATTAATGCTATTCCTGATTTTTGCATCAGGTAAAAATTTGCTGCCTCTAACATGGCCGGATTTACCTATTTGCCGCCCATGGGCCGCCCTCTTCTCATTCATTTTGAAACATCAATAAAGACCATCAAGTGAACGTGCCGGAGGGAGAAGGGTGCATAAGACGCGTTCACTCGTGTTGGACACATTTTTTGCGTAAGTCCTGTCAGCACTATTAGCAAAAGTTTACGGAACTTCGCGCGAAAGTTCAGTTCCGTAAACCTATTTCTGTGGGGACAAGGCCTTTCATTTGTAAGAGATGAACTAAAAAATTAAGAAAGAACAAACATAAATGTGGTTTAATAATTTTAACTTCCGCCGCCGTGCCGCACTGACCACACTGTGTTTGGCGCAATGCGTGAAGTATTCATGTAGTCTTGTAGGCACTGTGCGTTTCACGCCGCGCCGACCGCTGTTGACCGCACTGTGTTTGTCGCAATGCGTGAAGTATTCATGCAGTCTCGTAGGCGCTATTAAGTGTTACATGCCGACCGCCGCGTCGAGGGCTTCTCCCTTTTCATCTCAAGTCATCGTCATCATATCTCTTTGCGCCGCGCCGCTCCAGGCCAAATTACGTGTTTGGTTTCTCTCTTAACTCAACTAATTAAAGGTGCGCAGTCTTTTGTATCACCGAAATACGACAAAATTAGAAATTAATGAACTCTCAGGAAATTAGAGATTTTGTCACCTTTTCTTGTTTGTAATTTTTTTCTGAATCCGATTTTTTGTGTACCTGCATTTAAAAAAATTGCGAAATTTGCTGCCCCCTAATTTTGCCACCATGGGCCGCGGCCCATGTGGCCACCCCTTTAATCCCCTAATAATGGCCTCTAAATTTAAAGAATTGCATTGGTTCGCAAGTCCTAAAGATGTGGAGTCACGAAACGTTTCAATATTAGCTGTCAAACGAAATAGGACCGCCATAATTATATGACAGGAAGTCTGCAATGCCGCAAGCCGAGAAACGGGCCCCGGTAATTTCGCATTCGACAACTATTGTGGCCTAAATGATGTTTTTTGCCTACCTTGAAAATTGAAGGAGAAATGGTACAAATATTACGCTACCTTCTAACGCCTTTCGCTGCTTCACCTCCGCTATTGTGGTGAGGAAACGCCACTAGCCATCGTTTTCCAGAACGAAGGAACGTAACTTCATTCCATGGCTGCGATTTCGTTTCAAACAATTAAATTTTTCACAAGATTGCGCCTGTGCGATTTTAAAACAAAGTGTGATTTTTGCATTAGGTCCGCAGAAGAATTGGCGAGATTCTCGGTCAGAAATACCTAATATTTTCTCGTAAAAATGCAATTTGCGAGGGTAAATTTAGCGACATTGAAATGTAGTTACGTTCTTTTGCGAGAAGAACGACATTTCGTTCGACATTCGCCACACAATTTGATAAATGCGGAAGGACTGTCCACACACTCGTTTGAGCATATTGTATTTCTGATTGGCCGAGTGATAACATTTATGGTGCCGTCATCTGAGATGCAATTAAGGTGATTCGATGGACGCCATATTATGTGTCAGAACGGCATGCAATTTGTCGCAACAATTAGTCCAGGCGCATGGTAGCTAAAAATAAGGCTACCTGGAATTTCGGGTACACAGCGATTTTCTTGGCAAACTTTATGTTTTTTGGGTCGCTGAATCCGAATCTGAAGTTTCCTACCGCGTATCTGGTGAGCATTTTTCGCCATTTTGAAAAAATTGCCTAAAAAGGCGGCCTTTTTTGCGTTTTTTTTATATAGCGGCTACGCATGAGATAAAGTCCCGGATTTAGTTAATGTTTTGAATAGCTGACATAATTTGGAAGAAAATGGTGTA